AATTATTCCTTATGTCCAACCTAAACATCTCCTGGTGCAGCTTGAGGCCATTTCCTCTCATCCTGTCATTGGCTGCCTGGTAGAAGAGATGAGCCCCACCTGGCTACAAACTCATTTCAGGTGGTTATAGAGGGTGACAAGGTCTCCCCCGAGCCTCCTTTTTTCCATGCTAAACAACCCCAGTTCCCTCAGCCACTCCTCATATAATTTACTCTCTAGACCCCTCACCAGCCTCATTGCCCTTCTCTGGACTCACTCCAGCACCTCAATGTTATTCTTGAAGGGAGGGGCTCAAAACTGGACACAGGATTTGAGGTGTGGCCTCACCAATGCCAAGTTTAGAGGGGCAATCACTGCCCTGGTCCTTCTGGCCACACTATTTCTGTTGCAAGCCAGGACACCATTGGCCTTGGCCATCTGGGCACACACTGGCTCATGTTCAGCCACTGTTACCAGCACCCCCAGGTGCTTTTTCACTGGGCCACTTTCTAGTCACTTTGCCCCAGGATGTAGCATTACAGGGGGTTGTTGTGACCCAAGTCAGGAACTTTCCTTCCAAACACTCCAGGAATTTCCTAGACTGCCTCCTCTCTACTCTGTTGAGTTTCCAGCAGATATCAGGCAGGTTAAAGTCTCCCAGAAGAACAAGGGCTGATGACTGTAAAGTGTCAGCCAGCTGCTTAGAGAAGAGTTCGTTCACCTCTTCATCCTGGTTGCATGGTCTATGACAGACTCCCACAAGGATGTCTGCCTTGGTAACCTTCCCCCTGATCCTTACCCACAGGAACTCAACCTTATCATCACCATTTTTTGTGGCTTCACCTTGGCTGGATGCCAGGTACCCACCATGCCACTGGATCACTCCCCCTTCCCAACTGAACAGGGTGACACAACTCATAGGCTGATACAAGGCAATTTACTAGAACAAAAGCAAAAGTTTGCATGTACATCAACAGAGAGAAAAAAACAATAACTTTATTCTCTACTTCTCACCCACAAGCGATGTCAGGCCACTGCCCAGGAAGCAGGGTTGCAGCACATACAGCAATTGCTCAGGAAAGTAAACACTGCAAATAATGAAAGTCCCCCCCTTCCTCCTCCTTTTATTAGCTTTTACACCTGAGCTGACACCATATGGTATGGAATATCCCTTCAGTTGAGTCAGCTGGCCTAGTTGTGTCCCCTCCCAGGATCCTGCCCACCCCCAGCCTACTCATGGAGCAGGGAGACCCTGAGAGACAGGGCTGATGCTGTGCCAGCGCTCCTCAGCTGTAGCCAAAGCACTGGTGTGTTATAAACCCCTTTCTAGCTACCAAAGCAAAGAGCAGCACTGTGAGGGCTGCTGGGGTTAAAATTAACTTCATCTCAGACAGACCAAATAAACTATCCTAAGAGGGACTGCAACTCTCAGGTGACAGTTTTCTCTTATCATCTGAGAAGAGCCTTAAAACACTTGTCTCCCACAGCCATCCCTGCCAGACCTGCTTTTTGTTCTCTCCATCCCCTGAGGCATTGCAGATTCCCAGTCACACAGACAGGGCAGAGGACATGTTCTGCTTCAGGGCATGCCAAAAGTGTTAGAGCCTTGACAAGACCAAGCATGTGTGCTTGTGTCCCACAGTGAAGTCCAGACAGGATCCATGGCCCACGTGCTTGCTGCTAAGGGATTGGCCCAAGAGTTGCTGTCCAACTGTTTGGTGTGGACTTTACTGAAAATATTTGTGCCAGCTGGGGGAAGAGGTCTCCCTTCAGGTACTCACAAATCTGTGTTTAAGTCCTTGTGCAACTTGCATCCCTGTCTTCTTCTGGGGACTCAGAGTTCATGCAGAGGGACTGCTGGCCATCTCTTTCAGCTCACTGAAGTACCCTAACCCTCAGGCTGGAACCCTAACCCTCTTACACTGAAAGAGACTTAATTCAGGATGGAGAGAGGGGAATCACAAAAAAAGGAATATGACTCTCTGACCCTTATTACTGTGTGATATCTTATACTGTGTGATAAAGAAATCTCTATTCCTGCATGAGCACTACCGCAGAGAAATCATGTCCTTGCCAGAAGCATAGTGTAAGAGGAGAGGAGGATATTTCTTGCTTTCAGTACCCCCCTCCTAGTTAATCTCTAGCCCAGTAGTTACATTGCTTGTTGATGAAGGTATTGTAAACTCCCTGTAGCCAAATTGCTTTTGAAAAAGTTTTTTAATGATCAATTTTATTATATAACTGTAATAAATTTGCTGTTTTAATAAAGAAACTTAATATTGAAGATACTAGAGGCATTTCTGTATTTGTGGGGGCTTTCAAGATCACACGGTAAATATTGTTATTAAAAGACCTTATCAAGCCCCATCAGTTTGTCTGGCACTGCACAGGATGTGAAAGCAAGCACTGAAAAGCTTCCACTCTAACAGACAGTTCAGTGCAGGGGCAGGGAAACACAGGCAGGATCCTGATGGAATGGAAGGAGCAGACAGCTATCAGCAATTCTCTGCAATAAGAATCTCTATTGGTGATGCCAGAAACCTTACATTTGTATAGATTATCAAAAGAGAAGTTTCACACCCTAATTAATGTACTGTCAGCTTCACACAGCTTGTGCCCATGTTTGATCAACAAAGATTTCAGAGAGGTACTGTTTTCACATCAGTGCTATTTGGTAGAGCAAAGATAAATACCAATTGTTCTCATCCAAATTAGATTTTGAAAAGCAATCTTCCTTATCATTTAGTATGTAACAAGTGACAGAAGCACCTTTATGTTGTGAAATAGCACAAAGAATTAGATTGCATCATGCCATGTTCAAATTTGTCAGCGATCAGTGGGAATGAAGAATTGCTGGGCTCACAACCAGTTCTTTCCAGACTTACAAGAATCCTATGGTTCTGATCTCCTTTCAAACTGCTCAATACATCCCTTGATCATGATTTCTCTGCAACGTCTGCGTATTGGCAGATGACCTCTCTCTGTAAGCTGAGCAACTCATGAAAGGATGATCACAACTCCCATCAGTTTTTTGAGCATCTGGGCCCTGAAGATCTCCAATATAAAAAGCAGATCCAAGTCAGCATTAATGAGAAAAAATAAAATTGGAAATCAAAATTCTAATTGCCTTAAGTATTGGACTTCACTTTGATCTGGATCCTGCCTTCCCCAGAGCAATTATTACTATGTCCAGATCTCATGGCTGGAATCTAAATAACTTAGCTACAAGTAGAAGTACCTACCAGTCCTCCCCGCACTTACTGAGGTATGAACAAGGCACAATAAAAATCCTTAGTATTTTAAAACTAGTTTACCTCAATCAAAGTGTGCACAAACCTCACAAATGGACAGCCACTCCATATGGTAACACAGAAGGAATTTTCATTCCATAAGTCTTTAGGAAGAATTCAGGCTCAATATTTTCAGTTTTGAAAGCTGAGGAAGGAAGACTACAAAAGTGATTACCCTCTTCCTCAGACTGTATTGGTAATGTGATCAACTTAAATTTCACCCAGTATTTTGTAATATCAAGGTCATCAGGAAAGTTTAATGGTTTAGTATAAATGAAGACAACATGCTTCTTTAATAATATTCTTTAAATGAATATTCCTGAGGAGAGTCTGAAACAAATCAGTGTTCAATCAATAACCTCAAGATTAAAATTACTTCAGTGCTATACAGCCTAACTGCATAGAAATTCAGCACAAAATAAGAACAATGATATGATAAGGTAGTGCTCCAAAAGTCTTTTAAATCAACAGCAGTATCACCTATATCTCACCAGGCTTTGATCTATATTGAATCAGTTCTTTAACATATACCTTGTATTGTACTAAAGAATTTTAGTTTGCCTGTAGGGTGAATTCTAGGACAAGGAGCCTTTTAGCCTTATATGTAGCTACAAACCCTCATATTAAAAACCACTTTGCTATGTGCCCTTAAAAGAAAAGTGTGATTGGCAGCAGCTTTAATATGCAAGCCCATTTGCTGGGAACTGTTCTATAAAGTGTATGTCTGGATGACAATAAATCCACCATGTCTGTTATTTGCTAAAGTAGCCCGTGTTCAGTTTCAGTCTCTAAATGTAGGGTACTACTCTAAATTATGATGGAGACGTCGTGAGAAACTTGGCCGGGAGAGGTTAAAATCAGTGTGAAATAGAAGTAAATGTGTTCTTTTACTTTCAGCTGCAGCTTTGCCTCTTCATGATCTGGTCACACTTCTCAATTTGATTTGCAGCAGTTCTCCCCCAGATTCCATGGTCAGGAGAATCCCTCTACATGGCAATTAATTTTAGATAACGCCTTTTATCATTTGATAGACTCCTCTGCTCTGATCGAAGCTTAGTTTACTGCGGAGCTTCCGTGGGGTTTGACCATTTAATTAACGGGAGGACGATTTCTAAGAGCTAGCACAATGCCTTTTACATTTATCCGCGCCATAGGAATACCGCGCGGTTCCATCCCCGCACACGGGGAGTTTCGACGCCTTTGTAACGAGGAGCCGTGTCTTCGTCTGCGCCCCCCCGCAAAAGGGGCTTCCCCGGGCCCTCTGCCCCCCGGCGCGGGAGCCTAGGAGCTGCAGGCGGGCGGGGCCGGACTGGGCTGGGCCGGGCTGGGTGCAGCGCAGGGGCAGAGCCCACCCGGGCGGCGGAGCCTGGCCGCGGCCGGCGGGGGCTGCGGCGGGTGAGGAGCGGGGCGGAGCGCGGCAGCCCCGGGCGGCGAGGGGCGGAGCGGGGCCAGCCGCTGCGCTCCTCCCCCGGGGCACCGACGGCTCCGTCCCGCTGCCGCGGACGCGCCCGGGAGGGCGTCGGGGCGAGCGGCGTGCGGTCGGGTCGGGTGCTGCGCGGCTGGGGAGAGCGGGAGGGCGTAGGCAGGAGGGGATAAAAACCGCTGTGTCGCCTCTGTGACTAGGAGTCTCCCGCCTTCCCTGCTCACCCGCCGCCGGTGCCGAGCTCCGGGCCTCCGCTCCATTCCCGGGGGCAGCGGGCCAGCACTGCCTGCGTCCGCGGGGGAGCGCAGCGGAGCCGCTGCCGCGCTGCCGGCGTCCCGCAACTTCCCCCGGAGCCCAGCGGAGCGCAGCATGCGGGGCAGGGGCTGGAGGCGGCGGCGGGGCCGGCATCGCGCCCCCCGGACATGAAGCGGCCATCGCAAGCTCCAGGTAACGCTGCCCGGCGGGGTGGCGGAGCAGACATCCCCCCGGGAGCCGGGGTATGACGGGGGCCAGCGTCCGGAGGGGCAGGAGTCGGGGCTGAGAGGGGCCGCCGGCGGCGAGCGCAGCCCGGCAGCGGGCGGGGGAGACACGGTCCCTGCCTCCGCACGGAACGGCGGCGGTGGCCGCGCCTGCCCGGGGAAGTCGGTCAGAGACCCCTCGGAATGGTTGTGGGTGCCCCCGGTCCGATGCCGGTTTAGCCTGTTCGGTCGCTGGACTCTCCGAAACTTTGCCCTCCGCCGATAGGAATCTGGGGCTGCAGCGGACAGTCCCCGCCGTGAGACTGGCAGGAGACACCCCCCCAGCCCCCCCCACCACCCGCTCAAAAATCGTATGCAAGGGGGTTTCTGTGAAGTTTAGCCCTCAGATAAATTTTTGGAGGCTGTGAGGATCCTTCGCTGGGCAACTAAACTTTCCTAAGATCTGACATTGCTTGGAGACTGGTTAGTGATACTGTAATAGGCACTGCCACTTATCATTGCATTTTTTCTTAATTATTTGCTGATCTCCTTAGCAACTGAAGTAATTTGCAAAGGTTGAAGCTTGGTTGCAGCTTGATTTACAAAGTAACATGGCAAAAGGGATGAATTTGTTTTTTCACTGATGCATATTTCCCTTGTGCTCTCTCAGAGGGATAAGAGGTGCAGAGATGTTGACTTCTCATAGCTGGTACTGCTGTAAAGAGACTCTTGATTAGTCCAGCTGAGGCTCTGTTGTATGACAACCAGTTGTTCTGTGTCTCAGTTTTCTTTAAGACAATCGAGTTATCATGTTTGAAGAAAAAAATACCTCTTCAAGGAAATTCAATCTTCAGTGAGGGATTAGTGGGAGATGATCATTTTATTTGGCTAAGGTTACTAGGACAAATTAATCTCTAATTCAGCACGATTGAGGTCTGGCCAGATGCTGGCTGGAGAGAGCACTCCATTTGCCTTGCTGATCTCAGGATCAGCTTGCTGCAAATATGATGTAAAGCCGTTTTTTCATCACTGTTAGGTCCTGCACCAAGCACAGTGTAGCCCAGTTCAGGGATTTAGTCCAGTGTATCAAGACGCCTCCCAGATGTAGCTCACCAACAGTTTTTGCTGTTCAATCCATCATGTCACTAAATCTCATGGATTACGATGTTTGGGTAATCTGTCTGTTGAATCAGAGATGCTGAGCACAGCTGTCAGGAAGATTTGATGCAGGATGCCTTTTCCACTTTATCAGAGTAGGATAAAGGCAGAGTAGAGCCTGGAGACTGAGGTGAGGTGGCTGAATATTTCCTGTGACAGTATCTCACACTCGTAAGGAATGCGAGTTTATGCAGACCTTCCTTAAAAATGTAACTTTTTAAAATACTAATTGCATAGGATGCCATGTCTATATGTAATTAATGGCTGTATCATCTACTTGAACAAGATTCATAAAGTTGGAGTCTAAAAGCATGAATAATTATACTTGTATAATGTTGTTGTTATAATTCATTAAAACCCCATTCTAAAAATCACTTTTGCTTCTGAGTTCATGAGGAGCCTTTGTCAAATGTCATGCCAGAAAAAAAATAGGGCTGTGAGAAAATGAACACCTGAGCCATCTTTTTTTTTTTTTTCATGTATTGCTGTGTTTGACTAGTACAGCCCTAATTCATCTGATATGTAAACAGGTATAGGGGGAGAGCACCTTTGTGGACATCAGAGGTCAGTGAGAGGTGCAGAGATGTATTAATGTCTTGTGGGCTGCTGAGACTGAGGCAAGACTCAAGAGAAGACAGTCACAGATGTGGTGCAAGAGAAGGAGGTAGGGGATGTAGGAATGGTGTGAACCTTCTGGTGGATGAACAGAGGTCTTTAATGTTTTTGAGTACTTGATCTCTCTAGAGGCTCAACACTATTCCTGCAGTAGTGCAGCAGGGTAATGTGCAAATACTTGCATTTTCACTGTGCAGGAAGTACCAGCCAGATGTGGGACTATTTGCATCACCAATGTATAGGAAAATGCTTTACAGTAAGAATAACATCTACCAATCCCATTTTTTTAACAGTGAAAAGACTAATAGTAGTGTTTGCAAAATACCATTCAGGTGAACTGTGATCTCCAGTCCAATTCACTGCTTAAATTAAGAGATGTGCTACATAAGGATTTTCAGCAAGGTCTCAAATGACCTGGGAGAGGTAGTTTGGTGTACAGATTCCATTGGAGAAACAGCAATAAGCCTGAAGGTACTTACAGAGGATAAGAAAACTGCTGTAGATATTAGTAAGAGAGAGAGCCCAGAAAAGGGAGAAAGGAGTATTTAGGGCATTAGCTGATCTTCAAGTGATAACTGATGGTGAGACTGTATGTTGCCCAGCAGTCCCCTTTTCCATAAGTGGGTCTAAGTGCTCATTACTTTTAAAAACAAAACAACAAACAACCCCCTCAGAAATAAACAAAAAACAGGAACAAACACATTAAAAAGTTCAAACCAAGAATCGAATCCTTAGCTTCTCTCGAATGTGATTGGTTGTAGTCAGTTTTGCTGTTCCTGGCCACAGAGGATTTTCTCTATGATAGCAGGATATGTCCCACCTTTCTTCTTGAACAGTTAAGAAGCATGTGCACCATTACTGTTCAGATGAATAATCTCAGGGAGTAATGTGGTTTTGGCACTGAACTTAAAATATTGCACTTTAATGTCATAAAGAAATTATTTCTTCGAACAGAATTCAAGAGCAAAACTCCCAACCATGCCCTTCACTTTACTATAAATCAGACAAGGTGTTTACCCAGCCCATTCAGAAATATTGGTGAAGTGCTTGGCCAAAGTCTGTTGGCACACATTAGCTGATAGTATTCAATAGCAATATCTCTCTTGAGAAAATGTGCAATATTGAAATTTGTAAAATAAGACTTCTCTAAGACCTGAAGTAGTGTTACTGGGATGAAACAAAATGCCAGGTTTTTTAATATAGGGCTTATTGTGGGCTTTGCTCTTCTTGCCACTTAACACATTACAACCCAGAAACGTTTATGCAGACATTTTGAGTAAGTTCAAATGATCACATACCCTGTAAATGTTTATGTTGAACGTGCTTGGCTTTGCAGAACATCCTGGGTAATTTGTGCAGTCGATATACAGAACACATGTTGAAGATCAGGTTGCAGCTCTACAGTCCTAATCTCCAAAAGAGCAAAGAACCTGTTGGGAATGTAGGCACTATGTGTGTTGGGCATGGAAAGGAAGGCTTCTGCTCATCAGAGTACTCTCTCTAAATATTCTTGTATGTTCTGTGGTACGTTTAGGATGTCTATAATTTGGATTTGCCCACACAGACAAGACAAGTTATCTGAAACAGTTTTCATTTTGCAACTCCAGTGAGCTTTGAAAATGGACAATCCAATTTTTAGCCCTTGCAAACTGTTTTTGCTCCTTAGAACTAAAAGGTATTATGCTGATATACACCAGTGACTGGTCTGTGTCTTCCCATGGGATTTGGTTGCAGACTAGCTTGGAGTTTCTGGTGAGATAATTATAGGCATGGACAGAAGCAAACATGCAAGCTTATCTAGTGTATTAAATTTGGTAAACCCTTACAAACCTGAACATTGATCTGGTACATCCCATTCAGAGTATCTCCAGGATCACAGTAATTTTCAACATGGGAGATGATTTTTTTTAAGTGCCATTCACTTGTTGCAAGTGTAGTTACATTAAAAATTAGGCTGCGTAGCTTGCAGAATCAGGCTTCACACGTTAGTGGGGAAGGCAACCTTTGCAGCAACTGTTCATCTCCTGTTTTGTGGATGCTTTATAATCCAGTCCTCAGGTGTGTGCTTTCATGGTAATGTAGTTTTCAGATGCCTTGCTTCATACAGTAGACTAACTAAATGAGCGACTACTAAATAATTTTTTCATCTGCCAGGATTTTTTCATTGTGCCTTATGTCTGTATACCATCCAAATTCACACCGTGGTACGTAATGATTTTTGATGGCAGTTTCTCTAATGCTTCATAGGTCTCACCCTCTAGAAGAACTTGATCTATTAATTGTTGCTATAGACTACTTAACTAGCAAAAATAACTAAGCAAGGAGCTTAGGACTGGTTAAAAAATACTCCTCTGGATTCCTAACTTTCCATTGAAAACCCCATGCAGATAGAGGCTTCAGGAGACTTTAAAAGCCTAGAAGAATTTATAAATATTAAACTTTAATTCAAACCAATCAATTTATTTTTACAATATTTCTATAGTTAAAATCATGTTAGTGTATCCCTTGTATAAACAAGGAATCCCTGTGCAGAAGTGCCACAATAGAGTCACAGCATTTTGTCTCTCAGCTCAGCACTTCCTCAGATCAGACCTTCCCAAATTTAACATGCAGAGGTTTCTTATTTTATAAGTGCCAAGCTTGTGGCTGTAATATGTTCATTATTTTGTAATAGTCACCAGTTCACATAGTTTGCTTGATCTTACAGGAATTTTGTGGCAAAGGCTAGGACAACTGCAGTTCTCAGGGATAAGGATTTATCAAGCTCTTGATGTAATCACCCATTCTTTTCCCTGTTCTTCCTCAGAACCTGTGCACAGTGTCAGGAAAGGTTTGGGGAAAATTTAGTAATCCTGTAACCAAGGACTGTATATAAAATCTAAAATGGAAAGAAAAATGTAATTCTTACACTTTAGTTTTGAACATTTGACTTGGCAGTCTTCAATTCTCTTAATGTTTTTTTTTTCCTTTTTGTTTTTTTTGAATGCAAACAAAGCCAATGTATATATAAGTTCTTGTGAAAAATATGTCCCATTCTCCCATGCTGCCTTCATATTTCTTCTTTTAATGGGTCATTAGAAAGTTCAGCTCTGTAGTTTCATAGCACATCTTCTGCCACTTGACTTAAGAGTAGATTTGTCAACAGAAGACAGCAGCCTGACAGGTTGGCAGAGGGTTACAGAAGAGGGGAGTAAAGAACTGAGGAGGAGTGAAATTTTTTGCTTTTTGCATACATTAATTAATTGCATCGGTAGTCTTAAGTTCTTAAGTAGCAGATGTAAATTCTCTGGAGAGGTGTGCTATAAGGCTTACCTCCTGAAACTCTTGTTTGTCTTCTGCTTAGACCTCTTCTTTCCCTTTACACACTTCTCATCTGCTTTTCCAGTCTCATATGCCTGAACTGACTTCTGCATCCTCAGACTGCCTCCTCCTCAGTTTCTTTAGTAACAGTGATGCTCCATTAGCATCCACCTCCCCTGGTTTTGCTTTTCCTTCCCTGTGTGTCTCTTACCCTTCTCTCTCTCCCCTTCTTTCACTATCCCTCTGCCTTGCTGCCCTTCACCATGTAGGTCTTGATTTTAATTTTTTTGCCCTCAAGGCTCATCTTTTCTTTGTCCATCTTGCATCATCAGAGAATACAATTTCTTCTTTTATTCTCCTCCTTTCCATCTGAGGCTGCTTCTTTCTCCTCATCCCACTGTCCACAGGCTCCTGGCCATAGCCCCTATCAGCAGCGCAGAGCAGGCATTGCAGGGTTTGCCCTGCTCAGATACTGCTCCAACCTGTGGGTGAGACTGGAGAAATGAGTTTGAGTGCAATAATGTGGGGGCTGAATAGCACATCTGAACTCTAAAGGGTTGATGATAATCAATGCAGATGAACTCACCTGTGAATTTACTGAAAAACTCTAAACAGGTACTAGGGAGAGCAAGAATCAACAAAAATGTTTATTGCTCTGCTATATGTGTACAGAAGATGGTAATAAGCTTATCCCTTAGCACAGAATCTCTACTGTGCCAAATCTTACATCCCTGTTTCAAACAATATGGACTCTAAAATACTCTCAGAAAAGAGTATGGTTGGGGTTTTTTCTATGTACATATGAGCAAATATTTTTTTCTTTACTATGTTTTGAGAAAGCTGTCTCATCCTTATTGAATGGTCCCAAAACTTGTGCCTGAGGTAAGCACTTTATAGATTTCTTCCTCATTACTTATATTGGCCAAGGTAGAAAAAGCAGAATACAAAATATTGTTATTGAACAACTTGAATAACTTTCAAAATAGGCTGTTGCTACCTGAACCGTAGGTTACTTTTAAATTAAAAGAAAAAATAGGAAAGAAATTCATATGACATTTAAAGCTAGAAAGGCTGAGAAAATTCTTTTCTTGAAAATGTGACATTTTCTGATTATAAAGAAAAGCATGTTGTAACTGCTTCCCACTTGACAAGAAAAAAAACATTTTAGGATGAAGCTTTTTCTTTCTTCTGCTGGGAATTCTATCTGTGTTGGTTTGGAAACAGGTAGGGGATGCCATTGCCAAGTCATGCTCCACAGAGGAACATTTCCAATTTTTTTTTTAAATGAACTGTCAGAAATTACATTACTTTGTCAAAGACTGAAGAATAGTTGCATTCTTTTTGAAGACAAAAAATACTGTATCTAAAGTATATTTACGCATGAATGCAGAATTTCGTGTTTACATAAAACAATGATAAGTTTACATCACCATAGAACTAGATTATACCATTAATTGTATGAAACCCTAAGGATTAACTCCCTGTATTTTTCAAAAGGAATAAGAAATCATGCAGAGTATGAATGGTAAATGTTAACGTGCTCTACCTCTGTATCCCTTTTTTGACAGCAAGGAGTGCAAAGCTAACTGCACCAAGTGATCTGTGGCAAGGAGCACTGGGAGACAGCTAAAAGACAGTGACAATGTCTTTAAACTGGCAGACACTTCCTACTCGACCTACTGGAGTTTTCAAAGTGAACTGCAAAGGACTTGCATGCCTCTTGGTCTTCACCGTGAGTGTTTGTGGCAGTGCCCCGGGGATGTGTCCAGCAGCCTGCATCTGTGCCAGTGATATTGTAAGCTGCACTAATAAGAACCTCACTCGAGTGCCAGGAAATCTTTATAAATGTATGAAAAGGCTGGATCTGAGTTATAACAGAATTGGGATTTTGGAGCCTGAATGGGTCCCAGTGCTGTCTGAGAAACTGAACGCTTTAATAGTCAATCATAATAGCATTAGCAGCATTAGCACTGGAAGCTTTTCCACAATTCCGAATCTGAAGTATCTAGACTTGTCATCCAACAGCCTGAAAACACTGGGCAGCCCTGTGTTCCAGGAGCTAAAGGAGCTGGAGGTTCTCCTGCTGTACAACAATCAAATAGCACAGATCGAGTCTCTAGCCTTTGGAGGATTGTACAAATTACAGAAACTGTACCTAAGCTACAACTTGGTCTCGCATTTCCCACTGGACTTATATGTTGGAAAACATAAACTGACAGACCTTGTGTTGCTGGACATTTCCTTTAATCACATCCAGACGATGCCTGTTCAGCGCCTGAGTTCAGTGCCAGCCAAACAACTTAGTGGAATTTATCTTCATGGCAACCCATTCTATTGTGACTGTGTCCTGTACTCCATGCTAGTCTTCTGGTATCAAAGGCATTTCAGCTCAGTGGTGGACTTCAGAAATGAGTACAGCTGTTTGTTGCAGTCAGACCCAAGAGGTCATAATGAACTGCCTTTCCTGCACGACAACGTTATGAATTGCTCTGAAAGTACCGTCAACAGCTCTTTCCAAGCCTTTGGGTTTATTCATGATGCCCAGGTTGGTGACAGGCTGATTGTACACTGTGACAGCAGAATCAGCGATATGGGCACACAGTTTGTTTGGGTTAGTCCAGACAATAGATTGCTGGAGCCAGACAGGGACACCGATAACTTCAAGGTGTTTCCTAATGGCAGTCTGGAGATAACAGATGCCCAGCTAGAAAACTCAGGGCTGTATTCCTGCATTGCAATAAATAAGAAAAGACTATTAAATGAAACCATAGAGGTCAGAATAAATGTTAGCAATTTCACAGTGAACAGGTCCCACGCTCATGAAGCATTTAATACAGCTTTTACCACCCTTGCTGCCTGTGTGGCCAGTATTATTTTAGTGCTGCTGTATCTCTATCTGACCCCCTGCCCGTGTCAATGTAAGGCAAAAAAGAAGAAGAGGAAGCTGAACCAAAGCAGTGCCCACCCATCCATACTGAATTCCACACTGCCGCAAGAGCTGCCAGCCGACGAGAAGAAGGCTAGCACTGGAAAACGGGTGGTTTTCCTGGAACCTGTGCACGAACCAAAACAGAGTCAGAATGGGAAAGTAAAACTGTTCCCCAATGACAGTGTCATTACAGAGAGTATCTTAAAAACTACTCGAACAAAATCCGACTCTGACTCTGTCAACTCTGTGTTCTCAGATACACCTTTCATGCCGCCAGCTTAGTTTGCTGCCTGTGTTTGTATCGTGCAGTTCCATTTCTGAATACCTCCTTTGCCTGTAGCAAACCATCAGGACAAACAAATAAAAAGAGATAAAATGTTTTAAAAAAAGGTATGTTTTGTCAGTCCTTGAACTGCGCCTCCTCTCTGTACGGGCCATGCAACGGTGATAGCTCGTTCGGGAAAAGCAAACAGCTTGTCATTATTGTGAATGTTTTTAATGCAAGCTGAGCCTCGGTTTTACTCTCTGGTCCACACACAGCAATTTCTTGTGCATGTTTAGAGACACTCTCAGTGCACACAGCTGACTCTGACCCCTATGCAACACCCAGTCATGCTGATAACTCAGCTCTTCTGAAGTGTGCACAGAAGCAGCTTATGGCTAAGGAGAAAAATGTCCAGACTTCCTGCAATTCCTTTCAAAAACTTAGAAAATCTTTATGTAAAATCACTACAGGAAAAAATTCATTTTTCTTGGACTGCTTGGTACAAAAGGATTCAATTTGCCACCAGAACACCTAGCAGCACTGAGTAAATGTTTGTGGCTTTCAACTGCTAACATATTTGCAAATAATTGCTTGAAAATATTAAATGAGGGGCATTGTAATAATTTTATTCAAAACATAATCATGAGATTACTTGTGAAATGTATTTGTATTTGTTTATAAATGTTTAATATAATGAAAACAGGTAAAAGTTAATATGCTACCTTTGCAGTTGCCTCAGTCAAAAAATGAAAGTCGTCAGGCATGAGGACATACAAATCAGCAGTAACTTTTTAAGCTGTGATAAGTGGATTAATTATAACCAATTGTCTTAACCTCTGCTGCTCACTGTATGCTTGGCATCACATGTGGTAAACAAATCTGCCAGTCACCAGGGCTTCTGCTTCATCTTAGGGATGAGTGACTTCTCTTCAAAGATAATTGTGAAACCAGGGAAATTTTTAAATTTTTTTTTTCAGTGGCACACGGTTTCCAGAGCCTTATTAAATTTGATCCTAAAGTTTTTTCTTAAAAGAGGAAATGCAGAATTTGGACAAACTCATGAAAATATAAAAGACTTTACCCACTCTAAATTCAGAAAACGCATTTTACCCAGACTTGGCCCTTGTCTGTACTATACTGCTTTCTTTCTTGCATGTATCACAGTCGAAGTTTATGAGGCTGGTAAAACTGACCTGGACTTGTTATGCACTATAGGTTGCATGAAGCATGTATTGTAACAAGCATTCTTTCTATTAGCTTTTTCTTTTTCTATTATATGTGCCCCTTTATTTTTTTTAAGCTTGTTTACCTTGGGGCTGGGCTGGACTTTTCCAGTCTTCCTCACATTGATAAGTAGCAACTTCAAAGGAGCTTCTCAAGTAATTACAGCTTACCAAAGACAAGTAAATGGAGCATGTCTGTCTCATTCTATTTTGGGGGAATATACTGAAAGGGTAAAGGATAAACTAAATCAGAATCAAAGGGCTACATGGTATGGCAACTGTAACTTATTTTCAAGCAGCTTACTGTAACAGCCACTTGCCATTTTTTGTGATTTGAGAGGCGTGTCAACATGCTAAAGCTTATATCTGGCTGAGCCAAAGCTATTGATTTGCTACGGCGAAATCCTGATGTAGCTAATTGTTTTGAAGACAAGCTATCTGACAAGCAGATTAGTTCAGGAAACAGTGTCTGTGTATTGTGTACAAAGTATGTGGAATTATAAAAAAAGCTGGAGTCATTAACTCAGATATTCAGGGAAATGGAAAATGGAAATTATTTTTCTAGGTAGAGGATAATAAATACTGAGGAGAGGAAGATGACCAGAAGTTTCGGTCTTTTATTTGTACGTTTATGTGTGTAAATTTAAAAATAGCTTCTGCTATCAAGCAGGTTAGTGTCCCTTCATAAAGCTCTTTCCTTTAATCTGTGTATATGCAGTAACTCAAAATCTATATTTTTATATGCAAAGTATGATGGAAAAACAATGTCTTTGCTAAAATCAGGTTGAGTCATCTGTCACTGTGGCAAAGGTTTGACATTGTCTCCTTCTCAAAGACTTTTTTTTCCCTACAATTTTACTAAGCTGCATGATTTCCTGCTATTTCACATGTATGGTTGGTGAGTGGGTGAACATCCTCTGTGTTGTGGAAGGAGATGATGGGTGACCCCAAGGGCTGAAGTGGTGCTGAGGCAGAGTGGGAAGCAAAGAGACAAGTACTCTGCAGGCAGTTGTGCAGATCAGTTACAGCTCTGGGCAGATGTTACACTCTGTTGTCATACACCAGGTTGACTGACCCAGATTTCCATCTTTACACAAGAGTGTTGATGGTCAGTTCCAAATTGGGCAGAAAAAGAAAACAGGCAGTTGTCAGTATGGCTGGGAGGCTGACACACTTCTCCTTAGCAGCTGCAGCTGAGCAGGTGAACTCCACTGCCGTGTCCAGCACAGCGCAGTGGGAGTATCGCATATCGAACTCACCGAGCATGTTAAATCTCTATGGTAGCCCTTAACAAAAAAAGGTAGAGATCATTCAGCCTTTTGCCCTGCAGCAAAAGCATGGGGATTTGTAGGATCAGAGTAATCCTGACAAATGACTGAAGAAGCTGAGCATTGATCTAAACAGCAAATATTCACTGTGACTATTAACTGTCTGTAATTTACTGACTCCTTTGAAGTGCTCACAGTTGAAACCATGAGTATGAACAGGGTGGTAAAAACAAAGCTTTTGAAAGAGATGGCTTTTTTGCTGCTTCTTTACATTATCATAGCCTCATGAGTTCAGTAGGTTTAATGAAGTTTAATTAAGATTTTTAATCATTAATGAATATTTGTCTATAGCACCAACACCGTAATCCGCAGCCCCAGTTGCCTCTTGTCTTGGAAAGCTGTGGAAAGCCAATGCAGCTCATCAGTTCCTCTCCTCCCACAGCAATTTGAGCTCAGGACTGTGAGCAGGAAGCCAGTGCTGCCATCCACCTCTGTGGCCTTGCAGCACCCTGCTTGTGTCATGGGCAGAAGGGGCTGCTCAGATGCCACACCTGCAGCTCCGCTGGGGTCTACTCTCCTAGAAAGGCTTTGTTGACAGACCTGTCTTACAACCATGTCTTCCTCATTAACCTGTGTCCTGGGTTTCCCATTGATGTTTCCAGCAACTACAAAAAAGCTGAATTATATTTTTAATGCAGAGAGAGCACAGTTCTGTGAGGTGTTGAATGCTCTGGCACCAGTCCAGACATGCTCTTAAAATGAGTTTGCAGTAAGGCAGAGGTACCAAGCTACTGGTAAGAATTCTGTGACTGGGCATGGGGTCACTCACTGCCTCTGCAAGATGCCTGGAGTGAGATGCTCCCCACTTTGATGAACCCAGGTGCTTTTGCTCTCCCTTGTCTTCTTTCCAGGGCTTGAGACTATGCCATACAAGGGCATAGGCAGAGCTCTAAGCTTTAGTTTAACACTGACTTTTTTGTGGGGGTTCCTTTGAATATATGTCCTCCACTGCTTTAATGATGGTAAGCAGCTTTTCTCCTACTCAAGGGCCTATTACATTGGTTCCAGCTGTCTCATGGATCAAAAATAAGGGTAATGTCTGCAGGCAGCTCTGGGAAATTATGTCCTTGCCTCTGTCTGTTTCCAGTACCACATATGCCTGCAGGCATCAGCTTTTGTGGAGTGTGTTGGAAACAAGTCATGTAAAGCCACCTCTCAGGTCGGTCTGGAGTGCAACAACAGCAGCTGCACAACCACCTGGTCCCTGTGTTCTCTACCTGCAGTGGCAGGAGACAGGTAAAGCTGCTTGCTGGTCATCTCTTCTGACCTTGATAAGATTCAGTGTCTGACTCAGACCACCTCACTAGCAATACATACAATATCTGACTACCCCTCAAAGACACTGAGCAGCTGCCATCCATGCTGAAGCTGAGGGTGAGCCAAAGTGCTTTCCTGACATCTGCAGTTAGTTATGTTAGCCAGTGCTATGTGCTTTTAGCCCCATAATATACCTCCTGCTTGCTAGGCAAGTGGTGCTCCAGGTTAGTAATGTGTCTGTCTCCTTAGCATCACTGCTTCAAAAAGTCAGATTTCTAAGGACTGCTAGTTCTTGAGTGTCAGAGAACTAACAAATTATATAGCTCATTCTTCTCAACAGCCAAAACCCTAGGGCAAAATTGAAATTAAACCAAGAACTTTAATTAGGATTTCACAAGATGATTTCTTCCCTCTGGAGTAAATCAACCTCCTTTGGAATGCTTTTATACCTTGTCTGCAGCTTATTCCTGTGCACCTCTCATATCTCTGAACTGGATGAAAATAAACCAACCTTTATGAGCCAAATCATACTGTTGTGGTCATCTCTAAAGTAGTGCAGCAGTGACACTCCCCTGTGGACTGCAGCCATGGCCATCCTGCCCAGCACACACTGCTGTTCTCATCTTCAAGGCTGAGTCGTCACCAGTTGGCTGTGGCAGGTGCAGGGACCTTTTCCAGCCTCTTCCTTCCTAGTTTTCAGTGTAAGGACTGGCTTCCTGAAGATTTCTGGATGACCTGCAAAATTGTTGTAAGGGATTATTTGAATTGATAAATTAAAACAACTACTTCCAAGTGGATTCTAAATCATGAGAGCTGACATTGGTAAGTAGTGGCTTAGGATACACTTTCAATTTACAGATTTAGAAATTTAGATTTTACTTTATTTTTGCTCTTTCTGGTAAATAGTACTTGAATCATTAAACACACAGAAAAAGAAAATGCATATTGAAGGATTTTCCCCCTCTCTTCCTCTTTTTTTCCATTTGTCCAGTAGGGCTCAGATATGAACAAAAGAAGAAATTCGAGGTTGAAGACAATAAGGACAAGAAATAATTTGAGCCAAGGTTCACTTGATATTTTAAAAGAGGACTAATGTCTTAGCTCTTGTCTTCAGTGGGTACATGTTAAAAATTTTAAAACAACAATAAACCAAGCATTTATTACCTAAATACAGATTTAATGGGTGTTTTGGAGGTTCTGTATGTTAACACAGAGAGTTCTGGCAGTAATAAAGCTCTGAAAGTGATCCATACAAAAATCAAAGCATAAGAGTATTATTAATAGTTGGTTCTTCACAAGGGGTATCCCAAATTTGCTGAAGAGGTCATGTCATAGATAAAAGGACCATACCTCTAAAAGAAATTTCTAACATTAAGAGTAAAGAACTGAAGAGGTGCAATGGAGAAAGTATTTTTCTGGTTTATGTTCTGATTTTGTTAGGAGGATTCTTTTCCTTGTATGAATGTATTTTCCTTTCCTTTGCAGAATAATGTAATTAATGGGAATAAGATTTTCTCATTTAGTTCTCGTAATGAAGTCTACGTTTAGTAGGAAAGGCAAGGAGGGTCAAGAATTGTGTAATCAGCTTGACATCACTGAGATGTCAGGAAAAGTTAGTTGTAGATTTAAGTATTCTTTGATCAAACATGAGATTATTCAGGCATAAACCTGTGGGTTGTTTTAATTTAACTGATATTATCTGTCTCATTTGAATAATTCAAAATGGCATATTTTAAGTTTTTTTTAAAGGAGAAAGACTATTCCTGAAACTTCTTGCATCAACTTAACTACACTGATATAGAAACCATCAGGGATGTGAAACAGCTCTGTTAGCATGAAGTGGCTCTGGTATATAGGCAGACTGTCCAGTCTGTATGAATATTTCTCATGACAGCCAGGAGTCAACTGTATTTCCTAGGCAAGCTAGAGCCAAATTGCATCATACAGACCTTTCCTAGAGAGTTGGGAAGATGTTTTCTTCAATGAGATTAGGTTAACGAATTCAATTGCATTCCCCATTCAGGCCTTACTGCATATCCCGTTTTGAACTCAGTGCTTTTATTTGCACTTTTGAACTATGCATGGAACATAATAGGCTGCTACAGCATATATTCCTGATAGGGACATCAGGAGAGGGAAAGAGCAGTTGAGGGGGAGTGACTGTGTTTGCTTGAGAACTGCATAATATGGTACACTGCCAATTTCTCTCCTCAAGGGTTAATAGTCCTAAATTCAAAATGCTCATCAAATCCAAACAAGTTTTAGACACCCTCTCCAGAGGGGGTGGAGGCTCTGATCTCTGAGAGCCTCAGCAAGTGCTGCCTTTGCATAAGACAAAATGTCCTTTCACAGAACAAAAGGATTTCTAGCACTTTCCCTGGTAGCTGAGGTGATGTCAGCAATAATAGACCACAAAATAAATCAGCTCTGATAAGCACTGCTGTTGCCCGGAGCAGCTCAATTAGCCTTTTGCTTTTGGAGCAGAAGGGTTTATAGTACTAGATAGAGCCTCAGACCAGGCTACATCTGACTTTTGTCCTCCTTGCTCTTCTTGCCTGACACCAGAATCAGAGAGCCACTAGGTTCGTTTTTTCATTGTTTTTTGGGGTGGTTTTTTTGGGTTTTTTTGGGGTTTTTTTTTTTTTTTTTTTGGGGGGGTTTTTTTGGGTTTTTTTGGGGTTTTTTTTTTTTTTTTTTTTTTTACAAGTACTCAGAACATACAAAATCTTGAGCCTTTTTCCAGGCAGTCCACCATTGCCTGTAAATACACTGAGGGAAGGGAAACACTGCTTTTGACCACTCACATATGTAAGTCAAGGCTGGATCCCATTGAAGGAGGCGTTTTGCAAAACACCCTTGCAAAAGCAGAGGGTATACTTGATTCTCTGACCTTGTTTTGCTAAGCAAAAGTTAATATATTTGAGCTATTGCCTGAAATAATTTAAAATATTGTTTTTTAAACTACCTTCATGAATGCAAGTGACTGACATTTGTTGTTGCAACTCTATTAGCTGATTTGTAATTTGGGGATGAAAGGATTATGTTTTCTCTCTTCTCTTTCCCTTCTATCATAAAAAGATAATGCAACTATTTTTCAATGCATGTGTGTCCCCTCCCCTTTTTATCTTCAAGCATGGATAATCAGCCAATATAATTTAAACAAAATGATCATGCTGCAGTGAATGGTCTCTGTGATCTATATTTTCTGTAGAGATAAACCAATTTGTTGATTTTGCTGTCCTGTATATAATTTTACATTTTAAAAATGTATTTAGACATGCTGTTATTATTGTTGATACATTCGCGGCATATAATTTTTCTAAAATTTCCTTTCTATTACAGATTTAAAAAATCCAGTAGAATGTCAGAAGTCAGGTCATTTACTGAAAACAGTAATTTTTTCCTTTAACACTGTAAGGTTTTGTCTTTTAGCAGTCCCACCTAGCCATTCACACTGCAGAGTCAGAAGGCTCTCAATAGTACCTGCTTCATATCAGGTATGAAAACAGGCTTCTTCCCTTCACATGGCAAGGAAAACATTTACATTATAAGAGTGTAGCAGATACATTTTCATCACTTATTCACCAAGAATTTTATTATAAGTTGTTAGGGTGGCTCTTGGCATTATAATTTCATATTAAAGAAAACTATTTCTCATTGGTGCTTTGTGTGGAAAATTGCTGTTGCAAAGAGCTGTTTGCTGGACTGCTTGTGATGATTTCCAGCTCAGTCATGTGCCTGTCACCTCATCTAAGTGCCTGAGAGTGATAAGAATGCACGTGGCCAGCTCTCCAGCAGGGAGACCCTGCTCCTTTTGCATTCATCAGGGAGAAATTGTTGGAAAGCATGCCAGAAGAATCAATGTGCTGTGTACTTGGCACATTCATGGTGATTTATAATTGCTTCATAATAAAGAAAAGTGGTAGAAGGAAGTTTTAAAATTCTCATCATTGTGGTGCATAAAAATGTTACAAAGCTATTCTATCATTATTGTGTCATTTTCATATTCTTCAAAAGAACCTGTAAATCTCTCCCTATCCAGCACATACAATAGTATCCAGTTAGGCCTATACAAGAGACCATGGGCACTGGTCATAACTCAGAGTTCTGGGGACGTTTCCTGAAGCTTTCCTACAGATTGTGCTCAGTAAGGCATAACTTGCAAAATTTATGCTGATCTACTACAAGGAATTGAGGACTGCACTAGCTGTCATTATCTGTGTGGATATGTCACCTGGTGTATTATGCAGAGTGCATTTCACAGTGATGATGTGTGAGGGGGCCCCTTTTTCTTATCAAAACTGTTCAAAGGCAGAGTGAAAACCAGGCCTCAGAGGAGTGCTGTTTTCTTGCTGCCCAGAAGCAATGAGCTTCTTTTGTGGAGAGCACAAACTGCAATTTGTTAAAAATAGAAACATTGCAATGGGAAAATTTTGCCAGAAGAAGGATGCTGCCCTTTGAGTAAAGGTGGGAAAATAATGTACAGAAGTCAAAAGTCAAAAGTGAAAAACAAAAGCAGTACCTGAACCTTCACAGGGGCTCAGGCTTTTGAAAATGTATTAAATTTTCATACTGCCATAGTAATTTCCTCCTGCATAGAGAACTGTTATCTCAATAATGCAGGTGCAGATCATTCATCCCAGAAATAACAAGGAAAAGTACCTTCTGGTTATCTTTAATTGTCATCCTGAGCTCAGGCCACATTGCTCCCAGTAGGTAGACCATGTTAATATTAATCCATGATTTCCCAAAGAAGCAGTGGATAACTGGACTGATTTGTAAGAGTGGCAAAGGAGTAGTGACCTGGAAATTTTTGTATGTTTTTGTGGTTTTGAGTAGATTCCCTGTCTCCAAGCCATCACTTGTAAGATACTGAAATACTGGAATTGAAGTAGGAGTGTTTAGGATTTTTATTTTTTGCTCTGCAGAAAATGAAGTAACAGACTTAATTGTGCCCTAAAGACAAAATATAACATTTTCTTCTTTAGAGATGTGTTTGCAGCAGGGTATGTGTACTGCTGTCAGCTTTGCCAATTAATATTTTACCCTTGTAGTGGGAGGAGAAGAACTGACACAGTAAGAGGGGAAAATGCACGTGTATCTCTGGAGACTAAACATAAAAGATGACAGTTGCTCTATATGGTTTCCTGAACAGTCAGTATGGGAGATTGTGTTCTCATGGAAGGCAGAAGAAGCACAGCTCTTCTACACCAACTGCATGCTGTCAACAGAATGTACAGATACCACATTTCAGGTATTCCAATACACTCATATACAGCAAAGTAGGATTAGCCCTGTCTTTCTGATAAGGAATGCTTCTTTTTCCTAGAGCATATGAGAGGAGTTTGACCAGGCTTATAGGACTTAGAAAAGGAGCTTAATATACATCTAGAAAGCTGTAAGCTACTATTCCTGATTACTGATAACCACTGTGGAATGCTGTGCTAATGGTATTTTGGCAATGTCTACTTTAAAATCTGACTCTAAGCATATCTATGGAGTAGCTCATTAGTAGCTGCAAAACATTTTGATTCCTGGGACAGGAACCATTATAGTAGCCTGTAGCACATTAAGATCTTTCCACCCCTTGGATTCTTTTTACATGTTTCTGTGAAGGACAGTAAGCATGCATTGTACTTTAAGGAGCAAATACATTTACAGGTAGGTGTTTATGAATATCTAATGTCTGTGTTTTCAAAGAGATCATGACATTCTTGCTATGACTATTGCATTTTAATACAAGAACTCCTATACTGTAGCCTCCTGTCATCTGCTTAGCTTCAAGAGAGATCTTTTCCTCCAGAAGACAGTTTAGAGCTTCA